TGAATGATAAGTTTTTCTGATTGGCTGCTGTTTGCAAAAATTAATTAAAAGCTTAACATGACATTTTTACCCAATCTGATTGGCTGGTTTCTGTCCTACATAATTTAAGTTGATTGTATTTGTCTTAAACATCTATAAAAATGGTTTCTATTCATATGCCATTCAGCTCCAAAGGAAATTAATGCATTTGTTCAGTATTCAGTAATGGGATTTTTGCTGGCAAGTTTCAATAAATACAAAAGCAGGCATTATAATCACAAGAGTAATAGAGCTGCACCCATCAGTTATTTTGTAATTGTATTATCTATCAATTAGTTTTTAAATTGTAAATCTAAAAAGAGAGTCTCACTAAATTAATAATTCAACCTGGCGAGACATACAGAGAAAAGCTGCAATTAGGAAAGTATTACATTTATTTATACATACAGGTAACACAGTCATATTCTTAAAAATATTTCTATTTTAAGAAAAGCAGCTGATTGCGAGGACTCATTGACTCTCTGCAAATCCTGGCACTGAGCATGCATGTAGCGACAGTGGAAAGGAAAAGGCCTTAGAATGGAAGAAACCTACCAGATAACCAGACTCAGTGTGAGAGGCCACCTGCTGAGGAGGAGACAGAAGCAGATAAAGACATAAATGAAATAAGTTATATGGCGCTCTGGCCCCTGCAGAAGACTTCGATGCTGTGAATCAAGATCCGGTTTGATGAGTTACCAAGAAAGGGATTAGGCCAGAGGCTAGATGAAGGGAATCTTGAAAGATGATTGCTTCAGAGAAGGTGCGCCCCCCTCCCCGAGTTGATTGGCTGTAGCTGAACAAGGGACATTATAGGTAGTTCAGGTGAAGCAGATAAGTCTTCCAGATTGAATTTTTCATTTCTAAGTAAACACATTTTTATTTAGAAAAAAAAAAAAACTTTATTGTGCATTTTAACTGACTTTTAAATTGCAAATAAGCTATAGGAATATAAGTGCATATACACGTGTATACACACGTTTAGAAGAATTTTACCCTTAAATGGAAAATGTTTATACTTTTTGTAGTTTTGTCTTAATTACTGCTGCAAATAGGTAATTCTTTCAGCAAAATCTTATTTTAGACTCTATGTACCATTAGTCTTATTTGCGATTCAAATTGATCACCAAATGAGTTAATCATTTCCAAAATCGATTAAACACAAATCATCTGATTGATCGTCTTGGCAGTAATGACAATGTCTTTATATTTAAAAACAACTTTAACAATGATTATTAAGTAGCCTGCATATGATGGGGGCCTGTGAGGGACCTGGATGGACTGCTTTGATTTCCTCCAGTTTCATGGCCAATCAAACAATACTTTTTATTTTCCTATGACTATGTTCAAATTATGGTCTATATTGTGACATAATATATAGGAAAATTCAACGGTTTAAGTTCAAAATTTATATAATCTTGCCTTGCTTATGATAATGATGTAATCTAATGTGTCCGTCCTCATGTGTAGCGCTTTAGAATTTATGCAAAATATTTTGGTTTACTAAGAACTGACATGCCTCTGGAGAGTTTTTAATTTTTTATTTAAAAATGTTTTAATAAAATTCAGAAGAAATACCTTACATTCTCCCAAAGTGGGTAAAATTAGGTGTGTGAGTGGGAAAGAAAATAGGCAATGAGAGCATCAACTACACATGTAATTAAATAATCACAGCAGCAGAAAAATCGAATAAAATGTTCAGCAACGGAAAAATAAAAAGAAATTTTAGAAGAAAAAAAACACAATGCAGCAATTAAACAAAGTTAAAGAAATATTCAAGGTAAAAACAAGATTAGAAGCCATTTGCACTGACAATAATATTAAAGGCATGGATCTAAAAATATTTTTAAAAAATCCCCGAGCAGATTAAAACTGAAAATCATGGAAAGATTCCAGGAGAGTTTGCAGACAAAAATCATGTTCAATACTGCCATTTTATTTCCTTTTTTTTCACCATCGACTTTTGTAGAAACGAAATTTACTCTGAATCATCTTGAATAATCTACACTTGAATCATCTGCAGACAAAAAGTGTAAATCTTTTGAAACTTTACATACATCATTTATGCAGAGTTTATTTTCTAAGATACTAAGAACATGTCTAAGTACACGTACATTTATTGTTTCATCTCAAGAACCAAGCAAACAGTTATTTCCTGCAAGTTAATCTCACTTTCAAGCATTTTTAAAAATTCTTTCCTTCCATGGAGGTCAGCTGTAAAAAGACATTCATTATATATGGTTTAATCTTGGTAATTTGACCTCCGACACAGTTAGAGGTAGTTAAACAATGTTGAAATAAACACAGGTAGAGAGGTTAGGATCATTCCCTGTTTTCTTAAGTTGAAGGCACACCACGGACGTTTTGACCTAAATAGTTGATGCATATGAGTTATTTTAAATGATTTCTCAGGCCAATATACAGCGCTAGACGATATCAATGCTAAATGTGACTCCCCCCTCTTGAAATACCGCTTATGTACGCTAGGAGAAGACGCACCGTTGCTGGCCAGGTCATGTGACAAGGATGAACATATTGCTTTACAGCCATGGGCTGTTATTAGAGTCACAGAGCTAAGGCTTTTGCTCTACTATTTTTCTGCCTGCTTGACTACTGGTCACGGCTGAGGCAAGGAAAAAGTTTAAACCTTCTGAGGAGGCTAAAAAAAGAAAATGTGAAAGGCATCGTGCCTGAGCAAAAACAAGAGTCGATCTTGGAAAATACTTTGTTTATTCGTAAACTGAAACTTTACTATTAGATTGGTAGGTTTACACTTTGCTCCTGGTATACAGTCATATCTATTTATTATTTTTGATGTTTAGTAGAAGCAAAATACACGCAGAGAAAGCTACCAGGCCACAAATGAAAGACAATCGAGACGCCCCATCTGATCCAGTGGCTGTTCTCCGCTGGTCCTCTGCACTGCACGGCCCGGCCTGCCCCGGCGGGGCTCTCCAGAGAGCTAACAGCGTTTCTCACGCCCTCCGAACTGAGCCTGGATGCCTAACACGGTCCCCAATCAAAAGACATGGGAGGCTGGCCGTCTGACTGCTTGTTGACATTCACGACAGTGCTGTGGCACTTGTGGCCACTAGGGATGCTAGACATGAAAGTTACAGGTCTAGCGTCCCTAGTGGCCAAAAGTTACACGGTGTGCCTTTAAGAAAAAAGGATATGGTAAGATCTGAAAAAAACATTTCCACAAGAAAAAAAAAAAAAAAAAAAAAACCTTAGGAGTTTGAGCTAAGCAACGCTGGTGTCATTCGATCGATGTCTTCTCAAGTGAATATTTTGGAGCACCTTATCTAGGTTCCAACGAGTCCCTAAAAAGTAAAGTTTAAATTATTTATTAGTATACTTTAAAGAAGAGCGAACAGCAGTAAAGGTAAACTTAATGTTTCCATACTAGATTTGTTCTTGCGCCTCTCAATGTCTCCAGGGTCTTCATCTAGCTCAATGCCAAGATCGGATCGCCATTTTTTCAAGTTCATTTCAGTCACCCTAAAGGAGACAAACAGTTAGTGCAACACATCACCATCTACAAAATGTTACTGCTATTAAATCAGCATCCATAATCAGACAAAACACATTTAATTTTTAATATTATATTTAAATGTCATTGTTATCAGAACATGAAAACTAGAAGTGAAATTATGGCTAAACTCTGTATTTACTTTCTGTCTTTGATGCTACTTTTTACTCTCACTTGGGCAGAGGTACAGCATGTTGGAGAGTGGTATTCTTACTTGATTGCAGTCTTAGGTGACTCTAACCTCTGTTGATATCATAAATTCATAACTAATTGAGAAAACAAGTTAACAAATGTTCAACTTCAGGGAAAGTCCAGTTCTCTCTTTGTAAATATGTTAAATCTACAATTACTTCATTTGCTTCTGCCATTAATTAGTTAATTAATTGATTTATTTATTTAGTGCAGCATAGAAAAATCAATAACCTTCATTAAAACCAATGGCATTATTTAGTCTTTTTTAATTCTTGGCAATGCGTCCTGGACGTCTCCCTGGTGAGATGTTCCAAGCCCGTCCCACCGTTAGGAGGCCCAGGGGGAGGCCGGGGCACGATGGAGGGACTATGTTTCTCGGCTGGCCTGGGAGCGCCTTGGGATTCCTCCAGAGGAGCTAGCCCAATTGGCTGGGGAGGGGGACGTCTGAGCCTCCCTACTGAAGCTGCTACCCCGCGACCCGACCCCAGATAAGCAGAAGAAGATGGATGGATGGATGGATAATTCTTGTCGTTCTACTCCAATGATGTTAATTATCCGCCCCTCATCTGGCTTCCTTAACTCCTTCTTCCCCAGCTGTTTCATGAGCTCCTGAGTAGCTCACCTACATTTATTAATTGGCATTGCCAAAGAAAATGGGGATCTGAAATAAATTTAATCAAATCAAATCAGATCCTCCACCTTTTCCTTAACTTGCATGTTCACTGGATTTCATAGTTCTATACTGGTTGCTTTTGTTATACGACAAAATCCTCTGTTCCTGCATCAGTTTACCCTGTTTTCTGGCCATCTTGAATTTCCAGAAAAAGAGGATAACAAAATTTACATCGTTATCCTTGTAAGCTTTTCTATTTTATTCGTTAATTTTATTTATCGCTTTGGCCTTACCTTCTACATATTAAGAAATAAAAGAAAAAGACACATGGCTAATTAAGAAAAATATGTAACTTATCAATTTCCATTCAAGAATTTAGTCTCTGTCAAAAGTCTCTGTCTTTGTAAAGGAATCATAAAAGGTTTAGTCTTAGACCACATATTAGGGCTGCAGATGCATTTTGAACATACTTGTATTATCACTAAATAAAGGAGAATTACTGTCATTCTTGGTTGACAAAGAATAAATTGATTAGTTTGGGGCCAATAAGAATCATCCTGTGGTAGGAGCTGATCTTCATGCCTCAGAAGGTCCAGTATGGAAGTGACCAAAACTAAACTACAGTACTTACCAGCCCAAATACATCCAGCAGCTCTTACCTGACAAAATTACGAGCCTTGTCCTGCTCGTTTTCGAAGGGCAACGTCTCTGTTGCTCCGGAGTACAGTTTACTTCTCAGGCACTGCGGCAAAGTGCGCTCCATGTCCAAAATTGTCGAAGCTCTCTGATAAAGGAAAAAATTGTTTTCGTAACTTCTTCAAACTAGAGAAGTGTTTTCTTTAACCCAATTTCCTATTATGTAAATATACATGTTTGAAATGGTTTCTTTTCGTTGCACCGGGTTGCACATACTCAGCATAAAGTTAATCTTGTCATTAGATAAATCTTCTCACCTGTAGGTTCCAAATAGTTTCGCTTTGCCCTGAGAGTCTTTCCACTGTGAAGCCCATCAGAGCGATGAGCATGTTGAGCATCAGGATGTAAGTGAGGACGATGTAGCTGATGAGCAGGATGTAGAAAACTGCCATGTATTCAACATTGTCGGCGAACTGCAGGTCTCCCATTCCGATCGTGAACTTGAACATTTCCAGTATGGTGAAGCGGATGTCATTATAACTCGGCTTGCTGCATTCGGTCGCATTGACAACTATGCTGCTTCCTAGTCCCAAGTTCTTATTTCTTTCATCTTCTGGTGAGTCTTTCATTAGGGCACAAACAGCTACAGATGGAAAAAAATAAACCATGTTTGATAGAAGCCATAACCTGCATGAAACACAGTCACTGTAAGTTTGCAAATATTTGTACTTAGTAGTATTACCAGCGGAAAATCCAAAAAGCAGGATCATGTAGACGCTTAAAAAGCGTAGAAGGTCACCCAGGATCATCTAAAAAGGAACAAAATGTCCACCAGATGTCTCACCAAACAACTCAGTTACTGTATCTCCTTCTGATTTCTTACCCTTTGCATCATGACATTGTAGATCCCCAGCTCCTTCGAACCTCTTGTGTAATACAAAACATTCATCCAGGCAAGAGCTAAAGACAGAACAAGGAGCCCGACGTATTCCCTCCTTCCGCAGAAGTACAAGATTACACAGACCAGAAGAAGGATTGCCTGAAGAAAACTGCAAACATGAAGATGTTTTATAGGTGTCTTTTAAGGTCTAATATTCATCAATATATGAAAGCGCTGCACCAAAGCTGATGAATAATAACAATGTTGGGAACATTGCTTATGATTCAAAGCTAGCAACTTCATTTTATGCTAAAAATGCCAAAGAATTTCATAACCTTCATGTTAACTGAACTTTAAATACAAATGGAAGTTTAAGTTTCAGAAAACATTGCATACAAATTTGATCATTTTTGGTGTATGTGAGTTGAATAATTATGTTATGTATTTTTGTATTATGTTTTTTATAATAAAAGAACAAAAAAAGTGAATTAGATGTTTTTGAATTTTTACACATTGACAGCCTTCACTGGTTATGAAAAGGGCATGAAGTAAAAGATGGTGCATTTAAGGCACCTTAAGAAAGATAAAATATACTAAACTATAGAATTTAACAGGGGTGACACAATTCCAGATTAAAACCGACAGAAGGACCATTTATTATCAGTATATGTTCAGTATAAAAAACGTAATTTTAAGTATAAATTCGATCATAAAATAATCACATACTACAATCGATTTTCCAATTTCTGTTCTTTTTGTTGGAAGCTGCTGTAGATAAAATTATTATCATGTACATCTGGTGAATATTAAGGGACTGGATTATGTTGAAATCAATCCCCCTTCTTTTATTATTTAATCTTCTCTTCTTTTTATTTAAATACAATTTAATCTGCTTATTTTCAGCATGAGAATAACTGTTGTTAGTAATCTGACCATAAAACAGTTAGAAAAAGCAAGCAGCATCAATATTTTATATCTTCGGATGCATTCAAACTGTTTTTACATGGGTAAAGACATAGATTTATTCCATAGATATATAGCTGAAAACTATTTTTGCTAAAAAGATTAATACATACACATGAGGAGTAATTCATACACTGTTTTAGTAATTTCTCTGTTAGAATTTTTAGAAAATCCAGAAGCCCATGCAACCTCACAAATGAGCAGAACCATGGTGACAGACAAGGTTTTATGGCTAAGAGGCAGTTTTGTTTTTGACAGCCAGCTTACATTTAGTCGTAGTCTTCAGGACGAAAACTATTATTAGTCTTACCCAGACTTTAGTCATATGTGATAATTTTAGTCGGTTTTAGTCGACTAAAATTCAAAAAGGTTTTAATCTAGTTTTAATCAGTTTTATATTGCAATTCATAAAAAGTTAACCTTTACAATTTTGAATAACACCAGATTCTTTACCAGACTTGCAGCTCTTCCCTAGATACTACAACTGTTGCTGTTGGACAGAAAACTGATTTCTAGAATGAAAATAAACTTTTTTATGACTTAATGCCCTGCTTTATGAAAACGTGTCACACAAAAGTTGTTAAAAAGGCAGATGTAGTTCAACGCTTGGCAGAGGACAATCAGCCACATATTGTTTATTAAGTAGCGAGGGCAAGTGAATCACCATTGTGGAGCGTAAAGCAAAGAGTCATGGCTAAATAAGCAAAGGAAAAGACGCATTCTGGAAGAGCAGAGTTTGTCAGAGTTGAGCACACAGTACCAGACCATTCAGGATTCATTTCACCCCCGCCGCTGCTGCCACGGTTTATCTGTGGTCCTGCAGAGTGTGCACTGCTGCACACCAGGTGGGCGGCATGACTAAACAGGACGCAGCAGCACGACTGATACTGCCTGGCCTGTCTATGGCTGCCATGGTGGTATAGTGGTGAGCATAGCTGACTTCCAAACAGTCAATTTGAGTTCTATTCCCAGCCATCGCATTATCTTATAGCTTGAGTAAGCCCAAAAGAAAAATCAGTCTTTATTAATTTCCAATTCTTAACTAAGTATTTACATTGTGATCTTGCCTGTTCATTGTTATGGTCAGTAAATATTGGGGAGTGGCAGCCTAGTGGATAGGGGTTCTGAGTTCAAGCCCCACTCCAACTGAATCCCCCTCTGGGTCTCTGAGCAAGACCCTTAACCCCACACTGCTCCCTAGGCGCCGCACAATGGCACCCCCCTGCTCCACGAGGAGATGGTTTAAATGCAAAGAGTGGATTTTGTTGCTTTTTATTTGTGACTGTGTAATGATAATAAAAGTTGAATTGTATTCTAACAGATAACAGCATAATGCTGATGAAGATTCTTAGTCATCCAGGTCAAAGTCATTCCGTAAAAGTTCAAAAAATCCACTGGACTTGGTTTCCAAAGTTTGAAGACGTTTTGCTACGTCTCCAGGAAGCTTTCTTTCGCATTTGAATTGAGAAAGCTTCCTGGAGAGAAGGCGAAACAGCCTCAAACTTTGGAAACCAAGTCCAGTGGATTTTTTGAACTTTTACAGAATAACAGCATAATGACAGACCTCCCACTAATGTTTTTATTTAGTCTCGTCTTGTTAACAATGCACACACCCATGACTCGTCAATGAAATAATTTAGTCATCTTTGATAAACACAACACTGCTAAGAGGTTAAGCGGTCATGGGCTTCTTCATGAGTTCAGAACCAGGAAGTACCCTGAAGACATTTTGTTGTCTGGTGCAATGGCCTACTTGGAAGAGGTAGTTTAGTTATGTTTAGTTATGATTTTGACTTTTATTATTTCTTTATCATATAATGGTGTACTTTTGTCTTTGTTTTACGTTTGTGATGCATGGGGGGATTTAGGAAAGACGTTAGATTAAATAAAAAAAAGCGCAACACAGGAGATATTGGTGTTCCAAAGTTGGACTGGAGTGGTTGACATTGCATACAGGTATTCTCAAAACATTTGAAAAACAATCCACTGGAGTTTCCTTTCCAGTCCAGGAAACTTTTTTAATTCAAAATTCATTTTTAATTTTTTCAATTCAGAATTCATTTTGAATTGAAAAAGCTTCCTGGGTGGGAAGGGAAAACATCTTCAAACTTGGAAACAAAGTCCAGTTGATTGTCTTTTAACTTTTTTGGAATTATTATGACCTGGATGACTGAGAATCTTCACCAGCAGGCACACGTACTTTATTAGTGAGGTGTTTTTAGACCACCTCAAAAGGGAACATTTTTAAAGATTAATTTCTTTTTATTTCATTTTCAGTTTTAAATAACTCTTATATATGTTAATTTCTGTATCTGTTAACTTTGTGTGTAAGTCAGCCAAATAGAAATTCTTATGTTAACATATAAGGACTATCAGAGAGGCTCTAGCATCACTGTAGTCTATATGGTAATGCTGTATGCTGTGTGAGAAGGGCCGGATGCTGACTGGGGGCTTTTGGAGAGGAAACCCCTGGCTAACCTTTGGATACATTGAAAAGCATGTAGACGCTCTCGGCCGCTCTGTTGGCTCCTCAGCTTAATGGTCAAAATAGAACCCAGTCTCTGTGTTTTTCAACAGCTGTTTTTTGACTGTGTTTTCAAAGCAGAATAATATAATAGTTTATGTGTTTAACCCCCCTGTTAAGGGGAGATCAGTAATAATATTTAAGAGTTTAATCTATGAAACTTTCAATGCAGTTCAAGTCAATACAGTAAGTATAAAAATAAAACTTGATAATTTTCTGATCAGACAGTGTTTTTAGCCTAATCAGATAGCTATGGTATATAAAATTAATAATCTCTGTATTTTTCCAGAGTTTACTGCACTATAACACTGATAGCACATTCCTTATCAACAACAGAAAATCATGTGAAGTGGCAAATATATATTTTTTACATCTTTTAATCAGAGGTCTTGTGCCACCCCAGATAGTTTGAAGAATGAGCCATAAAACATAAAACATATCCAAAAATCTCCCCCCTCTTTGACACTGTATGTGATGTTGAAATGAAGAAGTTATTATACTCACAACAGAATTTCACTGAATCCATCAGTAAATAGATTACTTAGATTTGGGGGGTTCTTCTTGAAAGTAGTTATCTAAAGATTTAAAAAAAAGGAGATGTCATTGCTGGTAATGCATACTGTTTTATATGATACAGTATGTTAGAAAACTTTCTATTTCCTTACATTTTTATAGAGAAACCACACAGCTCCAAGGACACTGATAATTTCACCCATACAGCGGAGGTGATCTTCTGGGGTGTTCTCCACTGCAAAGGGTGGCTGTAGGTGAACCAGAATATTAGCTTCATAGAAATGGCAAAAGAGTTTGTCACCTAAAATTCATCACTACATTACCAGCGTTAATTTTTTTGCGTACCTTTCCATCTTTTCTGTAGAAGGTCACAATGGTGAAGATGGCCAGATACATTAGATAAAATATGAACCTCACCAAGAAAAACCTGGAACCAAATCCATTCCATTTATCCTGAAGAAGGCTGTGTAGAGGTTCGATCTTTAGCATCTCTGGGCGATTCTGCAACAGAAGTTCAGTCAGATTTATGTTTAACCAAACAGCTGTCCCTCTTCAAGTGCTTTTGACTTCCAACGTGTAAGATTTGGGTTTTTACAATTAGACATTGAATATTAACACCAACAGGCATGACTCTGTATGATACAATAATCCACTCCTCTCTGAATGAGGGGAAGCTCAGTAGTGTCAATTAAATCCTGGGTTTTTCTATTAAATGTGTTCCAATATTCCTTTAGCGGATTTAAAAGATCTTAAGTTGCATACATTTTTTTTTTTTGTGTAACTTATTATAATATATTTCTTACCCAGTTTTTAATAACTATGTGGCAATCACCATGCCTTCTCTGCCTCAGTTACCTGTAGAATTTATTCACATGTTTGAAACTTGTTTTTCCTGATTGTGCTGAAAGTAACCTGCCATGGTTCATAGTTTAAGAACGCCGCACCTTTGTGAATCATCAAAACATCCCTGCCATGCCATTTGTGGTTTGAGTGATAGTGGGCGTTTGCTATATAAGTTGTCCTACTCCAGACTAGTGAAAGGAATATAAACAAAATGTCTGTTTGTAGATTTTGGGAGAGGTTTATCCATCCATCAGAGACACAAAGGGCTTTTTTAATGCATTGTTTTCCAACCATGAATAAACATTCTAAAACTGTAATCGTATTTTTAGTCTACACAATTTCTGATTTGTTTTCTTATCATGCAGGGTATAAAAATCCAACATACAAACAGGCTCAACTTGCTAATATTTGGTTGAACCAAATGACAATTTGTGTGGGACTCGGTGAATGACTAAATGTAGAGTAAAGCACTTTGCACTTTTCTGACTTGAGTTAAGCACTATCTAAGCACAGGCCACTAATATTTGTTTGAATAAGCATCTTGTAGATATTTTATTTCTGGCTGCAAAAAAACAGACTTAAGGAAATTTTGCCCTTGTAACCATAGCAGTAACCTAATGTTAGACTTTGTGGGGACGATTAAGATGTGAATGTAGTCTTTTTCCTTCATTAATTTCCTCCTCCCTCTAGTTCACCAGTGCTGCAGCAAAACATTCCCATGATGCTAGCATTACCCGTCTTTACAAAAGATGTTTTTACTTACTCTGTGTCACCTTTTAATAATCATTTAAATGGCATTCTCTAAAAAAACATGGTTGCTCTGTTACCTTTTGTTTGCAGAACTGATCTGTGGTTGTGAAGAAGTCGCAACTTCCTAGAATATTACTTTACTTCTTCTTTAAAATTGTCTGCTAATAACTGTTTGCATGACATGGATGGGTATTTATTTGTCAGTCCTATATAAACTACCTTGTAGTTTTGTCTTTTCTTTGTCTTTTTAAATTCTGTCTGCTCACACAACTTTAGGGTTCCTCTATCCCAGTCCTTGAGATCCAGTGTCTGGCATCCCTCAGGTGTGTTACTGCTCTAACACATCTGAGTTAGATAATTAGTTAATTAGCAAAACTTAGGAGAACTTGACTGCATACTAGGAAGCCAGCCATTTTATTACGGTGTGTGGAAACAGAAACACATCTAAACAGGATGCTGCACAACCTAAAGTGATCTATATTTGGAGAACTGCTTTTTTAAGCAGCAAAGACACCATCTTTTTAAGAATATTCCAACTCAGATGGAAATAAAAAATCCATCCATCATTCCACCTGGATTGTTAGAGTCATTTGCTTATTATGAGTTTTGTGTTTGGCTGGAGATTGTCGTAGTATAACCTAATTGGAATGAGTTTCCAGGACCAAATTGTAGAAGCTTGGAAGATTAAACTGCATGCATACACCTCTGTTCAGTAATGGCTTTTCTCATTTAGCAAAGATGGCTTCCATCACCTCTCTCTCCCACCATCTGTCCTCTCTGTCTTTCTGTTCTAAAGCGTGTGTTCTTTGTTCTTAAAGTACAAGTATCCAGCTGGATCTTGCCCAAAGCTACTGGCTCTCTTGTACTGTGCCACGCAGTTTTGAGATTGTTGTTTGGTTTCTCAAATGTATGAATCCGAACAGTCTTCATCGCAGTTGACTGGATAAACAAAGCTGCTCAGCTTAGGTGCTCTGTCTCTGGGATGAAGCAGTTTTTGTTTGAGTGTGTTGTTCAGTCTGAAACTCACCGGTATGTGATAAGCATATGTTTAGAGGGATTTCTCTGCCTTTTTCTTTTAATTTCTCCTCTGCAATTGAGATTTTTAATCCGATAACCCAGAGTTCTGATAACAGGAAGGTGAGGATTGTGGAAGTGCTACAGTAAGGGTCCCTAGTTCCAAATAGGAACATCAGGAGGTCCCTACACTATATGAACCATTGATAGGAAGCATCCTTCCTCCATCGTTCATGTCAGCACTATTCAGACAGCACATATAGCAATGCAGTTCTGCTAATCCTTAACAATTACAGTTAGCTTTGAAGGCCAGGGTGTCAGAATTGCAGGCCAAGTTCCATTCTGTGAAAGTACTGCAGATAACTAAGGCCCCTTAGCTAGTGTTGAGCCAACATGGGTAACTCCCTTTAGCAGTTCTTCACAGGGCCCTCTCAACACACCAGTTGACTTAGAGGTGGTATAGATTTAGATCCCTGCCCTTGGATTACTACCAACCAATTTGCATTTCTGATAGGCTGTCCCTGCTCACCATCCCATCTGCTCTGAAGGTAACTCTGCTATTTGGCAGCTCAATACAAGAAACATGTGATTAGAGTAATCAGCAACCATAGAGAAATGCTTAAGGGCCGTGAATGGACAACATCAAATCCTACCAAAACAAATGGGTAAGGCTATGTGTAAATATAATAAGACTGTCATCACAGGAGATCAAAATTAGTTTTACTTGATATGAAATTATGCCAAAACAATGTTGAGTTTCATTGTTTTTTGAACATCTTTATAATTTGACAAGGGACCATATATGTAGCCACATGTGGTCTTTCAAACACTAGTTTTATGGTGGTATCCTGACAATTTTGTGGTCTGTACTGATAACTTGAGGAAATTTTGTTTAAAACCTGGTCCGATCAACAGAGACTTCACTTATCCTACTTTGTATATAGCAGCTCTTCTCCATCGAAACCTGGTAGGATTTATTCGTTTTCCAAGCGCCAGACCATAGTTTAACACACCTCTCTGCAGGTTTTCTGCTGTTACCAACCCATTAACAGATTCAGACCGTGTCTCACTCACTGTCAAAATCGGTGAGACACTAAAACTAATTTAACATGAGAAAATCATATAAAAACCTGTTACACACTTGAATGAACAGCTTCAAATAATTTAATTTAATTCAAAGGACATCAGATACCCCCTATAAAATACTTTGTTAATTAATGATTTAACTCAGTACAATGACATTCATTGATGCACGAGGAGAACTTCTCGTTATTTCAATTATTTAATGAGTCACCTGTTCTTAAACAATTGGAAAGGAGGAATTAAAGATCAATTTTTAGGTATAGATTACGTGTGACAAACACCAGATTTCAGCATTGGGACAGCCGATACCGCACCGTGACGTGGATGCCTCCAGTAAAGCTCATTCAAATAAAAATGACTCTTAATTAAAAACACTTATAATTTATATACAAACTGTCAGCACTGAACGGTAACACAATGTGCACTAAAGTGAGTTCAGTGGGATGAATAAGGATAGGGAGACATTGTGAAATCTGCTAAGCCTGAGCCTCCTATAAATTCCAGAGTAGTTGGTTTGCTGTGTCACACCAACGATTTTCTTAACATATTTGCTAACAACCACTTTAACCTTCACTGACTGGTGAATGATGGATGGATGAATCAAGTTATCTACTGCAGAATATATAATGGCAGCTCATAACTTCCACAGGATTATAATATTTATCCATTTACGTCCTTGATAGTCAAAGTTCTTGACACAAAAAAATCAATTCAGTGACTAACTTCATTAATAGGAAATAAGAAAACCAATTAACAAAACAGATGAAAGTAAATATGACATACTGACCGGAACATCTTTCCCATAGATGATAATCTCCAGCACAGAGTTGTCTTCATTGGTGTCAATGAAAGTTGTGTCATAAAGAGAAGAGTGAACGGGTCCATAGACCCATTCAATGAACTTTCTGGATAGTCGCCATGTCTCCTTGTCCGTAAATTCTCTGTTCAATATGTGCCTGAAAAGCTGGCCAAAGCAATATGAAAAAGGAGTTTAATACACTTGCACTAACATTGCAAAAATTAAAAGGTACTTATGTCAAACACAACAATATTTACCCCCTTTTCCACTGGTGCTGACTCAAAATGGTTCATTCCATGGCTCTACTTACTTTTTAGGTTTATACTTTAATATTATTAACAAAAAACATTAGTACTTTGGAGTTTAGGTCAACCTTGCGATTTATTCTCCTATCCACATTTTGAGGGTACAAAGTTATTTCGGTAAAATTAACAAAAAAGTAGAAAAGAGCCAATTTGAGTAAAGCTTAATTGAATAAGCCTAATGGAAAAAGGAAAACATGCGGCAGAAAAAAGACTCACCCCGATCTTGCCGAGTTTGGCAGCTAACTTCAGCGGGGTCAGACCGTTATTGTTCTCAATCGATTCCAGCTGTACGTTGCTGTCTTTGTTGAGCTTGTAGTGCTGAACAAGGATTTTGTCATACATACTTGCAACAATTTCTGTGTTTTCTGGTGTGTTGTCTGCTATCACCACCAGAGTGTGCAAAACTGTGTTCCCTTGGGTGTCTTTGTCAGTAGGATCGGCTTTCCTATAAGGGTTCTCCATGAGAAATGAAACTATTTCTGGCTGATTGGTGCAGGCAGCCAGGGACAGAGGCAGCTCACCTGTTGGAAAACAAAGTCTTACTATTAGATAGAGAACTGGACCAAAAACTTGAAGTAGCTCATGATAAACCTCTGAGGAAAATTACCCACCAAAATAGAAGCCGAGCTTTAAGTTACGCTGGAAAAATGTCCCACTGGCCTTTGCTTGGACATCAGCCCCTTTCTCCACCAGCAGCTTTACGTAGTCAAACGCCCTTCTTTCAATGGCGACATGTAAGGCCGTCTGACCTGTAGATGGAGATTTGAAAAAACAGCTTTTAATGTAATAGAAGCCAACTGTCTACTGTTAAAATATAAAGTATATAAAGTAATGTATAAACGTTTTCTGACCTTTATAACAGTCATCAGTGTAAGCTGCATTGATAAAACTGTATAGGTCTTCGGTCTTCTCTGCTATGTCAATCAATACTTCAATGGTGTCGTTTTTGCCATCTTTCAGTTTCAGCAAAGCTTTTATGAGAGCTGTTTTCCCATTAGATTCATCTGAAAGAAAAATGAAACAAATCTTATCTGTTAGATAACACAACATGATATTCTCCTATGGATCATCCATATGCTCACTCCGGCAAACTTCAGGCAGCCAGGATATGAACAGGCTTCATCAGTGGTGCACACCTGTATCTGCAAGATTTAATCCCTCTCAGTGTGGTTTGTTACTGATGGTAGCTTTTGTTACTTTGTTCGCAACTGTCCGCAACTCATTCCCTCCTTGAAGTTCTGAGATTTTGACCCATGGGATAAATCTTGCATGGGGCCCCAGATGGAGAGAAATTATCAATAGTTTTGTATGACTTCTGCTTTCTTACATTTGCTTCCACGGATCATTTATTCCTCCAACCTGCTCACCTATTCTAGATTCACTCTCCCCAGCCTCTTCCTAGTATAACATTTTCTTCCTGGTGTTCTTCGAAAGCTCTTTGGTCTTGGCCATGCTAAGTTTGGATTTTCACTGTTTGAGGTAATGGACAAGTATCTTTTATTGAGCAATAAAGCTTGATATTAATTTAGCACATGCTGAAATTGACATAATTATTGGGGTAGGAGGATGCGGGTTTGCCACCTTAGTTTTGCAACCCTCCCTTCTCCCGCACGATTTCTATGACTCTTCCACAGGGCATGAAACCCTGCTCCCCATGGTGTTTGAGGAGAGAACCTGCAAATCACAGGAATTTGCTATATGTCCAACTCAACAACTTCCGTAACTTCAGCCAGCTCCTTTGTTTTCTGTCTTTTATAATGCCAAAACTGGTTATTGAGGTGTGTATCACCTCAGTAGCCATGATGAGAATGGCCAGACACAGCTGGATTAATCAGGTGGGGTGCATTTAGTATATCTTATTTGTACAACAACAGTTATTGAGTTCAAACATGTGACATTAATTCAGATAATGAATAATGGAGGACAGAGGAGCTTCTCAAAGTAACAAGTCTGTGAAGGACAGAAATTATGTTGTGTTCATTCTTGGGTGACAGATACTTATTTTCCACCATATTTACAAATAAATTCTTTAAAAATATTTCAGTGGGATTTCCTGGATTTCCCCCCCTCGTTTAGCTTCTCATAATGTACCTGTGATGAAAATTTACAGACCCCTCTCATATTTCTAAGTAGGAGACCTCTGACAATCAGTGATTGACCAACTTTATTTCCCACTGTAAACTGCAAATAAATCATTTTAGTAAGAATGGCACAATGCAGTTGCTTCCCGTCGTCTTACCTATAAAATCTGAGCTAAGTCGCTCCTTACTGTCTTGCAGGTATTCAAGCAGGCCGTTAAGTTGTGCAGCATCCCCCTCAGATGCTGCTCTGAAAACGTCGTACCTGGTAAACACCGTATTGTCGGTGTTATCAGGAAAACGAACTGGCAGACTGAAGTGTGAAGATGAAACATATAGGTGATGAAAACAGGGTCCTATATACACTTCACTTATAAATCATGACAGAAGGATATTTAGCGTTTTAAGAGAGCCAGCTAAAAGTCTGACAAATGCAAACATTCAATGATCTAACTTTGGTTTACATTAAATATAACAGCATTAGCTACACCTGATATATACATGCGAGCTATGACAAAAACCTAGAAACAACATTTATTTGTTGGTAGAGCTACTTAACTGTAAGATATTGTCCATTGGCGCTGAGTCAGCATAAAGCAAAGGATAGCTCCCTTCCTTGTCTTCTGGCTCCATGTTTGGCTCTTCTTGGACCTTTCCTCCCTTACTTGTTGTGACTGTAAAAACTAAGGGTATTTATATGTGATAGTTTCGTATCAGACAGCAGGTAAAAGAAGATATACCTCAAGGGTGAGTTACTAAGTCCATTGTGAAAGCACTGATGAGGTAGTGGAGTTTTTTAGTGGGTGTGCTCCACTTGACATGACGGCACACCTTCGTTTGACAAGTTTTTTTTTTGTCTAACTTGTCAGATAGGAAAGCAACAGGGAATGGAATTTTTTAACCAGCAACAGACGTGAAATGAGTTTTTTAAGAAGAGATGTTGAAAGCCAAAACATTTAAGAAAATTGCTGTCTTCAGAGTGCGATACTGTTCATGTCACTAATGACACCTCTCTAAAACACAATGGTTTCAGCAACACTGGTTAGAGTAATGATTAACCTTTTCCTTTACACCCAAAATATTCTTTTATTATTTATTAAAGGACAAACTGAATGTTTTACTCCTATTACTCTCCAATATGATTATTTTCAAACAAGGTTTATTTTTGCAAAAAGTAACGAAAGTTATTATTTTCTGTGAAATGTCATCTTTGTATCAGCAGGTGTGACCTGCAGGTGGAGCCAGTGCAAATGGCCTAGCCCTCCCTACAGGTGCCAAACATTGCTAGATCTTCAACACTTTGCTGGTTTCCAGCACTGACTCCAGTGCTGGAAACCAGCAAAGTGTTGAAGATCACTCTGCTCAGTGTTTCCACTGAGCAGAGTGGAAACACAATTGAACCAATCAGAGCTGCTCTTCTTCGTAGTGTTATGATCTAACTGTGGCTGTCTAACCAATGAGGAAGCTGTTTACATCTGAAGAGCAGCCAGGATTGGTCTGAATGTGTTTCCAGTGTGCTGAGCGAGAACAGTCATGGTAACGGTACATGGAGTGGGTAAAGCAAAAAAGAAAATGTAATTTCAAAAGGATTTGAAAATGCAAGTTGAAAAAGGAAACAGAATAAGGAATAACAATTAAAATGTGTGAGTTGGAAAGATATTTCTATTCAGAGCTGTGAATTATGGTATTTAAATCTCTATTTAGAAATAGGATTTTAAAACACATTTTCAAATTCCAGTATCAAATAATGGAGTGATAAACAAATTCCTGTTCATTTCAGTTAAAATAGAAAATGCCTTTCAAATTAGATTTCAAATTGCATGATTTGAATGTTAAATTTGAAAGGGTTGGTTTTCTTTTTCAGTGACTCTCTAGGTCCTCCATAGAGTATATAGAGCCACTACAGCAAGCGAATGCAGGAGCTGAGGATGGCAGACAAGGATGAGCCAACTATGTGCCAATGCTGGCCTGCATGTTTGATGACATACTTGACAGCAGTAGGGATTCTTACATGACAAGACGAGGCGCAGCTTCATGGAATTCTGACTGAATTAAGAATATGAATCCCTCCTAATCAATTACAAATCTATTATGACCATGAAGACGCTTTTGACTGAATGTGCTTAAACTGGGTCTCTCTAACATGGTCCTCGGGACTAAAGGCCTTCGAAACACAAGGACTCCTTAAATGCCTTTTATAATCTTTTGACCAAAATTAAGCCAAATATAATCCCACTCTTATTCTAGGGGCTTAAATATTTTAATATTATTATTATATTAAATATATTAAATATACTTAAATACACCTGCGGAATAGTACTTTTTAAATCTTAA